TCCTTTATCCATGTCTCGCTCAAAAAGCAGCAATTGTTCACAGTTCTTAACTTAAATTATCGGACAATAAATGTAAATATGACTAGCAATGTAGTTCACGCAATCATTTATGCTTATTTCATTTTTATTTAGTTATAAATCAGAATATTATGATGAGACTAATAAGCTATATATCTGTTGTTTTGATTACGACCTATTGTTAGTAAGATGTATTCCTTTCTTGCAAGTTCCCTGATCTAGTAAGTCAATTTCTATTTAGCTTATGGCTAGAAAATGTTTTTAATTACTGCGAAAATTTCTGCAAAAGTGTCGTTTCTCGGAAATGAGAATATTACATATATTGTCTGACTACAATGTATACTTAAATAAATAAAACATATCATCCGTTTGCAACTGATTATTAACACGTATGTAATATAAGATTTTTAAATTTATCTATGCATATGTGTGTATAATGCAATATCTTACTACGGGAGATTCTACTCACAATATTCTGCTTACATTAATAAAAATAAGTATATTTATAATATGTCTTCTACATTCAACTATGATGTATCTCTTTGTTGATTAGATTACATCTATTACAGATTATCCATCGCAAGAATTCGACAGAAACATAAATTGTATCAAAATTACTATATACGTGGTAACGCCACCTACCATCTAAAACAACAATACCATAAAACTAAAAACATAGCCAAACATACCTACTTTTAATTCATGAAAACATATGATTAATCACTCACCTTAGTGAGGAGCGTAGCGTCCACGGTAAGCCCTTTTGCGGAGAATGTATTTTCACAATGCGATAATTGCAAAGAAAATAGCTGTAACTACAACGTTAGATAAAAAAAATTGTTAAATATAGGATTGAAAGATGTATAATTATTAATTTTACTATATTAAAAATTACTATATTAAAAATCGCATTAGCGTACGCGACACGTTATAATTAGAAAGATATATAAAATATGTCATTAAAGTTGATAAATACTTTTTATCTACCTCGTATTTTATTTGCTGATTGCTGGTGCTGTTGAACACGTCGTGAACGGTGCTGTTGATCTCCATAGCTTGATTCTTGCCGGTCTCACAAGCCCATACTATCAACATTAATTTTGTAGACAAATATGTTACAACTGTAACAAAAGCAATGTCATACATCTGTCTTTCCTGATTGCTCATAGACACATCTCCTTTTATTTGCATTAAGTAAAAGTACAGATTGAAGGTGATTTGAGTGAAAGTCATAACTATCGTAGAAAGAAGTTGCAAAGTAAAGACCATTTTTAGCTTCTGTACTGTCTCGCTAATTGCCAAATGCTGCTTCTTCAAAGCTATGATCTTCATCAGTAGGAATGGAATTCTTTGTTCACGATAGGTGCCGTTCAAAAGATATGGCTCGCCCTTCGTGTCCAATTCTCGCAGATTTGCCAGATTGTCGTTGATTTGCTTGAAACAAGCTTTTAATATGCAAACACAATTTATATATAGCATATCCATCTGATGCATTAGGCAGTAAATGTATAGTACATAAATCTTGCGGACGATACTAAACTGCATGTTATATATTAATATCGAAAACTGAACTGATATAAAGAGGAATCCAAAAATGTCCTTGGTATGAATCAGTTTAGATAAATTCTGATATGATTTCGGTGGTAATTTCAAGGAGATCGTCAGTAAGGTCTGAAGAAAACGCATTTGTGGTCCACTCAAAATAAATGTGGTGACTACTGTAAAACCACTGTTAATGTAGAAAAAGTTACGTTCAATTACCCTTGGTGTACCAATGTTTTTGAATACAATGTTGTTAGAAGTATTAATCTCATAGAGAATTTTTAATTTCATCGTGCAAAAAACGCAGATAATAATGGTCGATAGAATATAGCATTGTTTAGAAGCCTTGATGGTCGAAGCGTTGATTTTGTATGGAAATATCCCCAGAATGCGACAAAACGAGAAGCAAGGATACATCAACGACACAAAATCCGTAGCGCGAAATAGCTGCCATATTTTTCCTTTTCTTTTTTCTTTCGGTCTTTGGAACATCGATGACAAATTGAACATGCTCGCCGAAGCATTTAGGATGAACGATAATCTGAGAGATATTAATTATGCCGTAAATGCATTGTGACTTCAACGTGTTTACAAGAACTTCTTTCCTAAATGTAGATGTCCGTAAACTGACTTAAACCAGTCTATCTACACCGAGCGAGTTCAATTTTAAAACTACTAACAATTATTGCGTCGTGTTGCAAAACAGGACTCAGGAAATTGTGAGTTATGGTTTTTTGCTTATTACGAAGCACGCATATAATGTTATATAATTTTTTTATATATAACTTTTTTCGAAGTACTAAAATAATGATATACAATTTTCTAGTCATATAATTCATATAACCTTGCACATCTGAAACATGTACAGAACGAGTGAACGTTATCAAGATATTTCACAATTTTCCATTAGATTCATATATGGATAAATAGAAAGTATAGCAGATAGATCTCGTGCTGTTATAAATTCAAGAACAAAAAGACAAACTTTTATTTTATATAAATGTTGCTCCTGGACTCATGGTAAAAGTTTTTTCGATTTGCTGTTATTATTAGCAACGCACCTACTTTTCTACTGCTTCATGGCATTTTGTGAATATACAATGCAATGTAGTGTTTTCATTAATTAAATTAAAAGTTTTTTATACTCGTATTTCTTTTCCATTATTTTTTATTGAAATTAGATATGTAATTATGCTTAAAGCAAATTAAATTATATTTATATATATATATCAATAATTTAAGGACTGTCGATATTGGTATAATGAAAT